AGATGGTTTTTCTTAGCAATACTATTACAATTTTATATTGAGTGAGTTGAATAATTGAATAATTGATGGGCAGAATTTTTCTTTTCAGATTTCTTCCATCTACAAATAATTTGGACTGATCTCAAGGTGGGGCATGTCTTTGGGGTTACAGCCATCAGCAGAGTCTGCCATCATCTGAATTTGTATAAAGGAAAAAAACATTCTTTTTCTCCCAGTAAATATTTGCTCAAGCAGGTGGGATTGGATATGCATGCAAAGGAGAAAACGGGGATCCTATGGCAAGGGTGCAGAACATTCATTAAAAGAAGTGTGTTTAATTAGAATTCTTGTGATGGGAACTTACATGCAAATGATCCTACCTTCTTTGTTCATGAAATGGAAATGATACAGCCTACTGTACAGAGATTTTTTGAAGGTTATATTAAGTAGTATATATGATAGTTTTTTCTAAAGTGTGGCATAAAAGTAAGTTATTATTATCAGGTACCTAAGCAAATTTAAAAGCTTTAATAAAACTTATCCTTTACCTACTATACAAAGACTTTAAAAAAAAAAAAAAACAATGTGCAAACAAGACATGTTCGCCTTTAAAAGTTAAGGTTTGAGACTAAACATCTCAGGAAGCAATAAAGATCATCTAAAATGTCAAGGGAGGCATTAACAAAGGAATAAGTATGTTATAGAGAGAAATAGGAGACAATCTACTTCCTTTAAAGAGCCATATCTATTCATAGAATATTTGGAAAAGTATTGGATTTGGGAATACGAAACCTAGAAAAGTGCTTTAAAGAATCATGGTGTACCAAACAGCCAGGTGAACTGATTAATAATGGGATATTATCCCAGTATGCACACTTGTAATCCCAGCCTGAGGGCCTGAGGCAGGAAGGGCACAAGATTATGCACAGCCTCAGCAACTTAGTGACTTAGGAAGACCCTGTTTTAAAATAAATAATAAATAATAACAGAAAAAGGGCTGGGGATGGAGCTCAGCGTGAAGGCTCTGGGTCCAATCCTCAGTACCTAAAAGAAAATAAAAAGACAGTAAATCATGGCAGCCCTTGATGGAAGGGGAAGGGCCTGGTGAACACAGATTTTGTGCGTTTTGTTTACTTGTATACCCTATCACATTGGCCTGTGCCTCCAGAGCAGATTCTTACATGACTTTTGCAGAATGAATGTAAAATTCCAGGAATATTACTGAGAGGGGATGCCTTACTTAAACACACTGAACTTAGTATCTGAATTGAGCCATCACGACTGATGATTTAGATTTATAAAATAAAGATTGGGTACTTATAACAGTAGGCTAAGCTCTTTATCATAATTAATTATTGCAAAGTTTTGAAAATCCCTAAGTCAGAAGGCTCCTTCCAAATGTCAGTCATGAGTAAGTCAACAAAAACTTACAATGAAAGAGAACAAAATTTTGGATGGGAGAACTGCATTTCTTAGGTTAGGAATGCCACATAAATTAAAATAATTTTATTATTAATAGCTGCATGGTGTATTCTAAGGTTATGCCTAGGAGATTCATGAAAGAGTGTGGCAATTGATTAGCAATGTCTGCCATGGATGGTGAAGTCAGGGTTGGTGCAGAAGCATCAGTTGAAAGGACTTTTCAACTTGAAAGCAAGATTGAATTTTTGACCACTTCTCACTTTCTCCTCTGATAACTCTCACAATTACTATGAGGTGTGGTTTATTATGATGATATAAATGGGAGAATTTGGAAAAGATTTGCAAGGTTAACAAAGGCTTTTATTACCCAGCAGATATCGCTCATCTCTACTTCATCCTCTTTCCAGTTGGTTTGGGACCATGTGACAGAGTTCTCCCTGCCATGGTTGCCTTGAAGGCAGCATACTTCTGATGGCATCCCTACAAGAGGGAGGAAGGACTACAGCCACCCTGAACTTCATGAGAGTAAGAAATCATCTCGATGGATATTTTTGAGTTTTGTTGGTTCTGATTGCCAGGGTTAGTTACTCCAACACATACTAATAATTTTAATCAGAAATGGCCCATTATGGAGTTTGGAAAGGGTTATCCTGTTTAAACATTTGCCTGATTTCTGCTACCTGAACTGGGTCCTTGAGAAATCACCTTGCACTTCTTGCCTATGCTGCCATCAAGTCAGGAAAGTTTCCTAGAATCCTACTGACTCTGCTGGCGCTGTCTATTCCTCAGGGTGCCACATTTCTGGGGGTGCTGCAGAGTGAGGGCACCATGGAATAGAGTAAAGGATTCAGCTCTACTTTGCATGCTGGTGTACAATATACATATCCTTTAACAAGTCTGTTTCTAACAGCATCTTTCCCTAATGTGGGTTTCTGTTTCTAACTCTGAACTAAATGACAAAAAAACCCCAGAACAAATCAGCTTCTGCAGCATGCCTGCCTTCTGCTACCATGTAACTTTCCCAAGCTTAGTCCCCTTGAGGGACCTCAGCTGAGATCAGTTGCATTGCTTAAACTTCTGTCTCTTTCCTTGTTTTTTTTTTTTTTAAAGTGTTTTTTTAAAAATCACAATTGTAGTAATGTCTGAACTGCTCCCATATTCTCATTTGGGCAGAAGTAATTTCTTTTGTTAGTTTGTTTTTAAAGACATGGGCTCCCTGTGTAGTCTAGGTTGTTTGGAACTCATTATGTAACCCAGGCTGGCCTTGAGCTCATGGTAACTCTCCCTAGTCCCAGGATTGCAGACCTGTACCACCATGCCCAACAATTTCTTTTTCTGATGTACGCCTTCCTTAGTATCTCTCTTAAGATATCTCCACAGCATCTTCTAATATGTACCATAGTTAAGCACTCATGTCTTCCTCCTGGACCGTGGCCTTCCAGAGAAGAGAGAAAAAATACCAGTGTGGCTTACTGTGAATATTCTATAGCATGCAGATGCAGCTAATACATACAGAGCAAAGGGGTGAATAAATGAAAATCTCCTGTGCAAGGCTATGAGCGTTCCCTTTTTAAAATTACGAAATGGCCTCTAGAAATAGGAGGCAGTTTAAAAAACAAGAAGCATGTAAAGTATTATAGTACTGAATGTATTAAAGCATTTTATTTACTCAAAGTATCATACTGTTGGAAGGATTTATTCTTAGTTTCCTCTGATCTGCCTCTTGCTTTTCTTTCTTAAAATCGGAAATCCGCAGACAATTGTTTTTATGGGGATGAAATAAAGGATGGAGATTTCGGAGAGGCATAAATATAGAACTCTCTCTTTTTTATAATCTGAAGCAATTACCATGAGGATAAACAGCTTCCTTCTTAATACAGCAACACCACAAATAACAGTAGAATTCTGGATGTCTCAGCAGAGTGTAGTGTGTAGGGAAGTATCAATGTTATATAACGCTGGTGGGGAGAAACGATTATTTACAAGTTAATTATTGTATAACAAGTCAGATTTAGTTGCAGAGAGGTTAAAATAGCAGATTCAGAAAAATAAAGTACGTCAGCAGGTACATTAAAAAAGTCTACATTACAAACAATTATCTGAGAGAATTGAAAAAAAAAACCAGTTAGAAAAAAACCCAGTTTATTAAGTAATATTATATAAATAACTTGTTACAAAAATTGATTTGCAAAAGGCATATTTACTCTTTGTGAGAAATCATTTTTTTTAAATTGCATTCTTTTCAAATTTATAAGTCTGAGAAAACAAAACAAAATAAACGAAGCCATTTGAAGGAGTGCATATTTGTTACTTGACTACAACAAGGGGCCGGCCACACTGAGCTGCAAAGTAATTGTTTCAATCCCATTCTTTTGATACCGAAAACTTTCCCAGGCAAATTGGGAAGTTTCAAAAATCTCCATAACTAGAAATGTGGATGGAAGCTCAGCAGGGATTGTTTCCCTCAGGTATTCTTGTTGCTGAAGACATGAATGATACTGCAAAAACAACACGAAACAGAGCACTCCAGCTAGTGAAACTTCAAGGGTGGCAACGGTTTCAATTTATACTTGGAAGTATTTTTAATTAAATACAATTGATACCAAAAAGCCTTTATTTTCTTGGTTTAAAATCACAAATCACAGTAGGAGAGTGCCAAATTGCCTTAGCCTGGTATTACTAAAGAGATGCATCGCATTTATTATTAGGCCTATTTTGACGTAGTTTACTCTATATGCTATGAGAATAATCACCAACAAAACAGTACAGTGGGTTTGAAGTGTTCTTGTGTTTCTTCTGAGCAGATCCATTTTACACTTGCTACATGGCATTCCCCCTGAATGCCTAGTGATTCTATACATTTGATTCTTTAATAAACACTAAACTAATAGGTCATAGAAAACTAAAAGCTTGTAGAAGGTGCCTCTAGATATATTTACATAAATAGCAGAGTCTCACAAGAAAGACCAAGATCTCATTATAGTGGAATGCTTTTTTCCGAAACGCTGGGTCCATGCCTCATTTGTCAAATTAACCCCATTTGAGGAGAAATTTGAGTTTGTGGTCCATAGGTTTTTTAAAAAAATGGAATTAAGCAACTTGTAAAAGCTCTTTTGAAATTAATCTAATAACCCAGTGGCTCTTTGGCTAAGTGCCTCCGTCCTGTCTGAAATATAGTGGGTAATAGCCTTTGTTTCCATTTGACCTCCTTTTCTGCACTTTCATCTGCTGGCTCTGTCAGGCTAACGTTCCCCCCAAATTAAAAAATGAAAATGCATCATCAATAAGGTATTACAAAATAAGGAGTAGATTACAGATCATCTCAGCAACACTTAAATTAAATCGATGATGCAGAGACCATAAACTTCTGGCTTTAAAAATGAGCTATTTCTTTATTAACTTTTAACAAGTATGTGAGACAATGTATTTGCTTTCTAAGAGGGTATTGTGTTCTGCATTAAATATGGCTGGGGTCTGGTATTTTTAGTAGAGAAGTATCCCTTTAGAAAATTATTCTATGACTATGCCAAAGGGAGATTAAAAATGCTGCAATTGTAATAGTCACTGAACTTTTAAGGAGATGGTACTGTAGTTCTGTATTCTCTGGAAAAGAAAGCTGTTTGTCAAAGCTTGGGGAACAGTTCATCTTCCTCAAGATTCACATGCCAAGTGTTAATCTTTCTCCTCTTACAATCTGATGGAGAAGGTTAGGTTGCAGTGCTAATTTAAACACAGCAGACTGCTTGGGTTTTGAGTCCTTTGTCACAATGTCATATTTCAAAAAAGATTTCATCTAGATAAAACATAAAAATTAAAATCACACTAAAATGATCCTTTTCAGAGAATATCTTTCAAAAATAGTGGGGATCATGACTTTTTAGACTGTTCTTCCAAAGTAATTATACCACTTTAAAACTAGAGACTAGGATAAAAGTTTTATTTTGTGGTTCTGTTCCTAGGGAAAATGAATTTCGTTGATAAGGGCAAGTACCCGATTTAAAAATTTAGTTTGCACCCAGAAATCAACCTCATTCTTTCCTTTCAGCTGCATATTTTTATGGTGCTATAATGTACAGTCTCAGAATGTCCACTTGGTAGGTTATATATTATTATCTCAAAGGAAATACCCATTTCAGGGCAAAGCAGTTGTGGTAAGATATTGTTCAACAATTCAGGACATCTAAAATTTATGTACTTAGAAGTAGGGTAATAGAAACATTGCAAAGTTATTTTGGATCCACAAAATTTGGATGCTTCTAAGATACGAATTCAATTTTTAAGAACTTCTTGCACAACTTTTTAGGAGCTGAAAATGAAAACTATGCCACATATTTTTATACTGAGTTAAATTGAATCACCAGCTTTGTTCCATCTAAAAATGGAGTAATTTTGTAGCTGAACCTTCCTTTATGCACCCAGACTATAAAACCAGGGAAACTCCAAAAGAAATATGTGTTTACTGTGGCTGAACTTCCTTTCTTATGATTTAATGAAACTATCTTTGCTTCTTTCCTATTTGACTTATTTGAAGACAAGTATTTTCAGTAGAAAGTGGGCACAAAATGAAGGGTATTTAGACTTAGGTGTAATGGATTAACGTCTTTAGCTTATTCTAGGATATGTCTTAGTGGTTTAATGAAATATTTCCTCTTGAATAGAGGGCCAAAAAAAAAAAAAGGGGCCAGGCTTCAATGTCCTTGAAATGACCTTGTACACAAGAGCGACTTTCTTTGTTTAATAAATTTTTCATTTCTGTAATTAAAAACAGATATTAAAATTTTACTTCTTCCCACTCTCCTTCAACCTAACAGTCAGTATCAAAAACCAAGACATAGACAATGTGAAAATTGAACTTAAAACTAATTTTCTTATTGTGACCCAGGATTTGACTTTAGAAAATCTACACATGGAGTCGTGTTAAAGCTAATATTTGGTGGGAAGGAAGTGAAGATGAGCAGGAGAATGATGGAACTGTTGGCTTTTAATGTTTGAAGGATGTCACAAAGTCTTATAGAAAAAAACCCCATGAACTTGCTACTTACAGGAAGATAATACTCAATATTCAGCTCTAGGCTTGAAATACCCAATTTTCTATAAGTTTACTTTATCATAGCTTTTGTGGTTAGAAATTAACCAATTATGCAATACTTATCTCAACCTTATGCCACTGTCAAGGAGGGATAAAATATCCAGCCACTTATATCTCAAATGTTTCACTGTAGAACTACTTACTTTTACTTAGAAGGAAGGAGTCAGCTTTACCTGGAAACACTGGAAATTGCTAGTGTTAACCCTCAGAAATTCCAATTAACACCAAAAGTTCAGAGGTATGACTTTTGATAATACTTGTCTTTTTATGGGACTACCTTTCTTGGTTCAATTTGTTATATGACATGAAACATAAAGTTAGAGAACTCTTTAATTTTACCATAAATTTTGTGATTAAGGTGCTGTTCTATTGCTATAAATATCTAGTTCTTATTAATTTTACTAAGTTATCTTTTAAAACATTACCTGTGACTATAATACATACTGACTTCTTGCTGTAAAGCCCTCGCATAACATTTTCTTTACATTCCTCCATGTGTGTGTATTTGTGTGCATGTGTGTAATTTGTGTGCATGTGTGTGTGTTTGAAGAACTAATAAAAGAAAACCCTAAAAGTTGGAAATAGCCCAACCATGAAACATAAAATACTTGCTAGTATACAGGATAGCCCATTACAATATATAGGAAATCATTCAGGGAACACAGGAATAATAGAGTTGCAAAAATTTTTACTTTAACTCAAATTCTACATTTCTCTTGTTTTAAAGGTGCTATTTTCATGTCCTGGGTAATACGCCCATTTAAAATTTAAGTAAACAATAGTGTGCTTCCAAACAGAAAATATGTGCTGAGATGACGTTATCCCCAAATGGAAATGACATTGAGATTATCTCTAGAAAATAAGCACTGATTGAAAATAAATTCTTAAGATTAATAAGTGAGGTCAACATATTCTTAAGTATATATTATATATGTACATAGAGCCTATTTTTAAACTTTTCAAACAAGACTGTTTTCATTACAGTACTTTGGAAATTTCTGGTGACTGAACAATGTAAGATTCTAATGATAAAAGCCATTAGAACAGCCATATGTAGTAAATGCTTTGAACCTGCCAGAAGGATTAGCTCAGTTCAGTTGGGTCCCCTGGAAAATAACTGACTACGATGCTAATTACATAATTAGAAAAATAATGGATTGGATGGATTTTACATTACTTTTCTGTCATAGTTTGAGACCATTACTTATCATTAGTTCAAAGACAAGGGTGGTAGGCTTGCCATCCTTTTGCCTTGGAAGCAAAGTTCTAAACAATGGGGAATATTAATACTTTTGAAGGTCAACTCTCATTTTCATTACAATCTTAAACACTTGTGTTGAAGGGAATCCAAGTTGTGTCTTTGTATCCATCTTCCAGTCATGGAATATATATGTTTCTACTGTGATTTCAGTGTTCATCTCTATCTGTTATGTTGTATGTGCATATCGATGTTCTGGATATGAGGGGAATGGCATTAGGTTCCAATGAGGCTGGCTCTGAACTCTCCCATGAACTCCAAGAGTAGAGTGAACTTTATTTAATCTATTACCAATTCAAGTTAATTGTGTAAGAAGTTTCTGAGGAATAAAAATTATCGTACTTCACTCTGCTACTTTCAGGTACAGTAGAATAATACTGACAACTACATACAAGGAATTAACATTTGTCCCAGGAAAAAATCCTTCAAGAACTTTTAAACAATTAGATGATTGGTCATTAGCTTACTGATCATTGAAAGAATTTCAAGATACATCTGGTGGTCAAAACTTTAAAGTATGCTAAGTGTTTCCTTTGCTTACATTATTAGCCATTTTCTCTTTACCTTTCTATGGTACAAAGGCAATTTTTAATATAGGTAACACATTTTACGCTAGTGGCAAGGAATGACGTCTTAAGTTTTTTGTCTTTGTTACCTTTGAATGTTACAATTTAATATGCTTCTTTTCTTTAAGAGAAAAAGCATCTGAAAGCATCTGTGGATTTGATGCTTTGAGTAGCTGCTGCCAGATGAAGTATTAGAGCACAAACAAGACTGGCTGAATGCCTTTTTAAATTCTTTGTGATAGAAATACACACCCTTTCAATCCTTACATCATTTATTATTATCTCCTTGTGAGCTGATATATCAGGAATGACTCTCCAGTTTTTCCTTATTTTTTTTGACTAAAACTCTATTTTTGTCATTAAAGCACAATCCTTTATCTCATCAGCATGTGAAATGTACAGTTAGGGCAGTCAGCTGACCCGAGGCAATGGAGTGTAGCAAAACACTAGGCCAGTGGTAAACAGCATGTTCCAAACTGGCCTCAGAGAAAAATTGAAAATGCAGCTACCTGTTCACTCCTCCAGTGCCTGCCTACTGGGCCGACTTGGTTAATTGGATGCACTAAAAATAAAAATTTGCCTCTTGGAAGCTCATAAAAGTGTACTAGAAAAAAGTCTCTAATATTGGATCCACACGGACTGCAGCCATTGGCTTTTGGAATGGGTACAACGAGGACCCTTCACAGAATAGTGGATAAATAGAAAGAAATAGCCACTTCACATATTTCAGTGTCATATTGGAAAATGAAAAAGGCAACCGATTAGGAGTCTTTGTCGCTGTCCACCCCTCCATACATATCTGCCAGCTTTTTGAATCGAGGGCCCCAGTCACTAAGGTAATCATAGTCTTGATCTCCATCCGTGGTCACAGACTCCAGAGAGCTCAGGGATTCCGCAACTGAACCGGTGCCTTCGTAGGCGTAGGTGGCCAAAGAGTCGTACGGCGGGGCAGTGGGGTCCGTGTCATTTTCCTTTAACCTTTGGTTAATGAAATCTCTGACATCGGTGTTGTCTCGAGCTGTTGGAGTCCGTCGGGGTAGAAAAAGACCTTCAGGCACAATGTCCCTGCGTAATTTGTTGTCCTCTATGGCTTCAGGGTTCCTCAGGGTGCCAATATCAAAGGCCTGGGTGTCTTCCTCTCCACCACCTTCATCGTTGTAACTGACAATGTTATCTCTGATGTCTTCTTTGGAAATGATCAAGGGCTCTTTCTTCCGCTGCCGCCTCAGAGCTGCAAACAGCACCACTGTCACTGGAAGCAGACAACAAAACAGAAAGGGAAGGGACAGTTAATTTGCTGCCCAATTAGTGCTGGGAAGAACACCATACTCCAGTGTGAAGTTTTGAAAGTGCTTGAAGAAATGCAGACTCAACTTCTACTTCAGTGAGGATGCATTTGCCTCCATCCGTTTTCAAAGCTGGATCCAAGAAATGGGGTAAATATTTGAAAGAAGATTGTAATTTAAGTAGAGGATAAAGCACCATCATATTTTGTCAGTAGTTTTTTTTTCTTTGAAATGGCACACTAGTTTCATGAGAAGAAAAACTAAAACAATAAAAAAGCTCAGCCAAAGAGAAAATACTGCAATAAGAGTGCAAATTATGCCAAACACCTAAAATGCTCTGAAACTGGTTATCAGGACAAGGCTGGCACCTTGGGGATGTGTTAAAGGGTTTGCATAACTCCACATCTAAAATAACTTTTACACTAGGCATTATTTTTTTCTTTTACTTGAAAAGGTGTAAAATTAGTTTAAAAATCCAAAGTAGAGTTGTGAATATTTGCTTACTCTTTCTCCATACAAAGAAATATCATTACAGATAATACCTGGAGAAGCTGAGGTCCAGAAAGGCTTTTGGGCCTCCAGATCAGCCAATTAAAATGGGGGCAGATAGTAGCACACATTCCATATTATTCTGCCTGAACTAAATAAAACAAACACAACTAAATGAGAATTCTTTATTTTTCAAAGGTTCTTTTTCTCTCATTTGATACCCAGAATGTTTTTTTTCCCTTCTAACACAAATTAGAGGCAAAGCAAGAATTGTGTTTAAATAGCTTCTGATCTTTCTTCACAGCTGGCTGGGTAGAACAAAGTTGGCTACCTGTAGAGAGACACATCTATCTACAAATGGACCTATGGGTGGGAAATAAACAGAAAGCAACAGCTTCCAGAGAAAACAGCCATCCAGGACAGAAAACACATAATGAAACGAGCTTTGTCCAGAGGAGTTTATTACAGGAAGAACCAGTAATGCCTGTCTCTGTACTATTTCTTCCAATAACACAGTCCAGTTCTATAAGTTATGAAATTGAAATTTTCCAGCAAGATTTACAGAACAATGGCTTTTTAGTGGGTAAATACATCTAGCTGTATAATAATGGATGCTTGGATACCCATGTTTCTATATATTATAATTTCTGACATTAATAGGATAATAACTACCTACCTTCTCTATACCAATGACTGTTCTAGGCAACTTCCAAACTGAATCTCAGTAAGTGTCATAATAAAAAGTGTCATCATTATAACCCCACTTTACATAAGAGAAAGTTAAGGCATAAAATGTCACATGTACAAGCCATTCAGATCTGGGTCTGTCAAACTACGAAGCCCCCATTCTCAACTGCCATGCTTGAGAAGTGTTTGGATTACTGTCTATTGCCAAAAGAAATGTAATTTGCCATTTTCAAGTGTGTGGTTGTGACTGTTTACACTCAGTTGCTGCCAGAGAGCATCTGATGCCTCATTTGTCACAAAATCCAGGATGTTCATCTATCCTTTCAATAAATATTTATGTAGTGCCTACTATGTGGTAGGTGTGGTTCTAGATCTGTCAGTGAGAAAAGTGGATGAAGAGCCCTGCTCTCATAGAGTTGGCAGGGGTGCAGGGAATGGTGGATGGAGACAGAAAATTAACAATATGTAAAACCAGGACAGAAATTGTTAGAAAGTGGTAAGTACAATGTAAACAAGGAAAAGTGACAAGGAGGACAAGGAGCTTTTCTACATATTCCAGGGGCTGCTCATGTTTTTTGAAGGGAGGTTGCACCACTTCAGCAAAGATACAAGGGTTGTCCAAGGAGTTATCTAGCAAAGAGGAAAGAGCTACAGGAAAGACCCTCAAGGTGAGCATGAAGCATATTGTTGGACCAACATCCAGAAGACTCAGGGGCTGAACTAGGAGGAGCCAAGGAGAGGACAAGGGTAGAGAAGGGCTGTACTTAAGAGGCCCTGGAAGCTTCTGTACCTCTTTCACCTTTGACTTGGGGTGGGAGTGGCATGGAGGTGTAGACCTGCGGGGCTCTGGGCAGAAGGATGGCTGTGATCTACCTGTTATGATGGTTTCCACTGTGACCATGACAAAGATTTGCAAAACAGGGTTGTAAATAAGGACAGACTTTGGGATTAGGAAATGGAGCCAGACCAATTGTTCCTCAAAGAATTGCACTCTAATGTGCATGAGTTCTTTCAGTCACTTAAGGCAAGATAGCAGGTATTCACCATTTTTGAATTCTTCAGTTTAAGGCACCCAGATCTCTTATTTTTAGTCTTATGCATATATGAAAGTACAACTATCTAGAAGAGAGAAGGCACATTCAAAAATTCAAACCCATTTACTCAGAGCTTAATTCTCCTATAGATAAAACTACCTATATCTTTTATTTCCTGTAATCGTATCTGAACAGAATTTGTAGTTGTCTAGAAATGAGGCATTTCTGAAAGTTAACTTTTATAAGCCGATTTCTAATCACATGCAAAGAATTCTAAAACAGTGACATCTTTCAAAGTACCACTGTCATGAACTGAACCTCCCTTCTCCCTGCCCATTTGGGGACAGAGGATGGTATTTAAGCTTTTTTAGGGGAGGAGTCATTGGGCAAATTTGTGCCCAATCTCATAAAAGTAGAATATCAGCAGATCTAGGTTAATTTACATGGTGTGACCTTTCTTAGCCTGTTTTTAATTTGAGGAAGAGGGCAGATAATACGGTGCCCAGTGCTGTCACTGAGAAGTAGTTAATAAATAAGAAACTTTTGTGAACCTTAAAGTGCCATAGAGACATGAGATGTAGTTGTTATTTGGATTTTTCTATCATTTTACTTTTGTAAAAAACAGGTTCCATATGATCCATTTTTATATTTAGTTGTGATTTTGGTGCTGGTGTTGGGAATTGAGGTTGGACCTCATGCATGCTAGGCAAGGGTCCAACTGCTGAGCTGCATCTCAGACCCAGCTTCTTAAACCCTGGTTTCTTCACCCATCGATGTGGATTTCCTTCTCTGACAAGCTTTTGTGTTTGCATTCACTTTCTTCTGTCTGTCCCATTTAAGTCTGGCCCTTCTCTCACTCTGGAAATTGCTCTGCTTTCAATAAAGTGACAAGAAAAGCAGAGCGCAGCATTGAGGGGTGAAATCCTAGGGCTTGGAGCTTAGTTCTACCACCTGCTACACCTGTGACTTCACATTATGGGGGGCGGGCTCAGCCTTCCTATTTAATATACAGATAAATAAATGCCAGGTGCTTCTGAGGAGTAAGTGAGACAAACATTTGTAGAGCTCCTTGCACTGCATCTGGCCTATGGTGTGAGTCTCATTAAGGCTAAATCCCATTTCTCCATATTTGTCAGGTATGGGATTCCCGAGACTAAACAAGACGTGAGAGGCACTGAGGCCAACTGGGAATAATGAAGAGAGGATGAATTCAGTGGAGGAAGAGAATGAAAGTAGAAGAGAGAGTGGCTGAGTTAGAAGCAAGAACATGCAGAAGAGAATGCGGATTGCTGATGAGGACAGTAGGAGTCCCCTGTAGGAGACGAGCGCCGGCTTTCTTTCTTAGACCACAAAAAGAATCCATGCACTAGGACTGGAGCACAGCCCTGCCAGCCTAGGACTTCTGAAAATACTCCTTTTTATCAAAAAGAATATTCATGCCCTTCCCTTCCAAACAATGTTATAGACTTACAGCCTTAGGAACTGATCTGTCTTTGCTTACTCTCAGTTTTTATTTCTCCTCATCCTAAAATACTCACCCAAATTTTAGTTGATACAGGGAATCACAGCCTAAGTTGAATTTCAAGGCTTCTGTTTTAGTCAGCAACATAGATTTGGAATGAGAAGCTCTGGAGCAGGGATCCATCATGTTTTGTTGGAGAAATACAAGTCTTCTTTTACTCTTCTTGAAGTGACGGTGTCTTTATCTTTTATGTGTTTATATTTCCTGTTGTAATCTAGGTTAACTCTAACTTCTAATTTCTGCTTTTTCATTATATATGCAAACTCTACAAGTCTTGCATCTGCTTTTGGAAGGGCTGCATTAGCTAATATTTGACTTTTTAGTTCACAAATAGTCAAGGGACCCTTGAGCAATTTGAGCTCAACATTTTGGGTTAATTGATTGATCAGAGCAATTTGAATCATTGTTAGACCTCAGTTTTCACTTTTTTTGCATTTATTTTGGCTTCCAGGTTTGTTTCTTTAGTCACAGAAGTTATTTATTATTGAGAATCTAAAAATAAGAGACATTATGAATGCGGTAACCTATGAAGGCAGCCACTGAAATGGGTACATCAAAAGTTTGTCGGGTTAAAGAACATTTCTTGCTTTAATTTTTCTTGTATGAGAGAGAAAGTCATCATACTCCTCTTCCCACTTTCCCATTGATCTTAAACTTTACCTTTGTAGAAAGGGCCTTCATCATACACTCCATGCCGAACAACTTCACTATTTAAAATTTAACAATATTTGCCGACTTGAGTATTAAACAACAAATGAAATGAAAAGGTTATCTTAATAGTGTCCTCAAATCCCCCTGAGGTCCATTTCTAGTCTGATAGACAAGATACTCTTTTGGTGGAACAAAAGCAAAGACATGGAAAAATTTCACATCTGTTCATTCTCTAAAGCCATTTTCAAGCAAAAACGAGTTCATGTTTGAACAACACAGATTCTCAGCATACAACTCTACTCACCTAGATCAGGCTGTATGCCTTAATGGGGGAGGCGGAAAAATCTAGAGTGTCACAGTGACAGTGTGTGCCCCTCACCAAGGGGAGATAGGATGCAGGGAGAAGCAGTTTACCTAGTAGGATCACGATGCACAGGAGGATGGCCACCAGAGCCCCTGTGCTCAGTCCCGTGGGGTGGATGAGGGCCTCCGCATGGCAGGACTGCATGTTCCCATGGTGGTCACATGCACAGACCCGGACAGTCACTGTCCCAGTGCTGCTTTGAACTGGGTAGTCGTTGTCTGAAATGACCACAGGCAGCAGATAGGTGCTCATCTCATGTCTATTATAGCCATTTTTCCGAGTTAAGATTCCCGCTGTGTTGTCTGGAACCAAAAGCAAAGTGGTGAGTGCATGTGGTTATCACATCGTATACTGAAGCAGTTGTGATGAGAATCGATGGACACAGCGATAGACACAGATACCGATGGAGACAGAGATAGGTTGATGGAGAAGGTAACTTGAGCTTGCTTACCTTTGTTGTCATGAATGGTAAAGTTTGAGCCACTGGTTGCTTCAGGGGCCAAAGAGAAGGAGAATTGGTGTCCACTGTAAGGGTCGTCCTTGTCAACAGCTCGTAGGGTCTGGATTAACTGAAATAAAAGCCATAACATTTTGATAACTCAAGTGTTTCTTACAGTTTTTCAGTAAAATGCTTGCAGTTATGATTTTTAATTTTAAGAAATGGATTCTTGATTGTGAGAGTCTTTGGGGGATGGAGGTGTTCAGCAGCAAATGTCTCTACCCAGTAGATGCCATTAATGACCTTCTAAGTTGTGATCATCGAAAATGTCTCCAGACAGTGCCAAATGTCCCCAGGGACCCAAATCTCCCTGGCTGAGAAACTGTGCCAGAGTAACACAAAGCTATAAAAGATCACAGTGATCTTTGACAATGCTGCAATTTAACAAAATGGAAACACTCTTTGGGAAACCTTTTAGAAATATAGTCTTCACATGTATATAAGCTACCAACTTGCAGAAAACTAAAAAAGAAAATTAGCATATAAAACATAGTAACTTCAGCTTTCCACTTTTCCATGTACTTTAATAGTGCACTTCTATTTTGACAAACTGTAACATAATTTTTGTATTACTGGTAGCAAAGTCCTATTTCAGGTGGTGACAAATTGGGTAAAACAGTAAAACACTCATGAATTTGTATTACTTGTACAGATGGGCAATGTAAATAAGTAAAACTGTGAAATATAGGCAGTTGTAAAATATGTTCTAGTTATTATTTTTGAGTACATATGGTAATTAAATTATCTCTTCATCAACAAAGATTTTTCCAATAATGCTGAGACTAGTCTATTTTAATAAAAACTTAAGACTAATTTAGAATCAGGATCAGTCTTGGAGACTCACGAACTTCCAGTTCTTAAAAACTGTTTGTTCTCTTATGCAAGTCAAACATTTGTCATGGCTCTTATTTATGGTATTAATCTCCTTAGCATTCACTTCATAGATAATTTAAAACCAGCCCTCAGCTCTCTGTATCATCTGAATTATTACAAGATCTAAATTAATCTTTCAATTTGAATGTATTTCCTTACAACACTCACCTGATCTGCCTTTGCTTTTTCACAGACAAAGGTTTCGTAGAACTCAGCGAACTCTGGGGCGTTGTCATTGACATCTAGAACTTTAATATACAGAGGTACTCGGCTACTCTGCTTTGGGTTATCTGCCACACACCAAAAGGAAACAGACATTTACATGTTGATCACCAATCGCATTCATTCCCATTAATGCACAGATTCTCCAAGGACATCGAATACCAATGTGGCACCAGAAAGAAGAATTGGGTAACCTGGTGTTTCTGGAGTTGGGAATACCTACATGTTGGGAAACGCCTACATGTGTTGAAGCAGTGCCCCTGCCAACTAAACATTACGGTGGCACCAAATAAGGATTGGGGCTTTAGAAGTAGATTTTCAAGGAGGCCAGTGACACAGGCAGATGGTTTAAAATATGGAAAAAAGGAAGAAGAGGAAGAGGAAGAGGAAGAGGAAGAGGAAGAAGAAAGAAGAAGAAGAAGAAGAAGAAGAAGAAGAAGAAGAAGAAGAAGAAGAAGAAGAAGAAGAAGAAGAAGAAGAAGAAGAAGAAGAAGAAGAAGAAGAATGAGTTATGGGCCTCAGTTTTTTAGTTTGAGGGACACATCATGCTAAGAACCTTGCTGTATGAGTTTGTTTAATCTTTAGAAATATCTGTTGTAGATACGGTTGCTGTTCCATTTTATAGATGAGGAAACAGAAGCACAGCAAAATTAAGTAATTTATCTATTTTTACAGAGATAGTAAGGAGTTGAGCCTAGGTTCAAACTTGGATTTGTTTGACTCCAAAGCCCAGGCTTCTCATCTAGCATAATGAGAAACAATTAAAAATAGAATTCATGATGTTTTGAAAAATGGTTATTTTCAACAGAAAACCATTTTGTGATTTTCAAGCTTTAAGGGTGCATTACTGTTGGTATACTCACACCAATCCTTGGCATAAATTCTGAAGAACAAATTCCTATCTAACAAATGTCTAGGGAGGTGTCCTTATCCCTACAAAAGAGCAGTGTTTCATTTTGCCTATATTGGTTATTTACTAGTCCACCCAATACGCTTCAGCTATTTCAAATCTCACGAGTTATGTTGACAAAATAGAACTGTAATAAACCATTTGATATGGAATATTTCACCCTAGATATCCAACAGAGATTAAAATGTTTAGATCTTTTAAAATTAAAAGCAAAACTTAAAAAAGGCTATAATTCAGAAGCCCATTTTAACATTAAAATATTATTTTAAAGATAATTTTATGTGCTTTAGCCCATATATTGTCTGTGATTCACATTAATTTTCATTGAATACAATCATTTCATTTGAAGTGTTCTTGTAGCACACTTTTTTCTTTTCCTTAAATGTTATGAGGAATACCACAAAATTTATTCTAAACATTTTATTGACTATTTGGAGGTTTGTATTCCTCAGTTTGATACACTTTAGAGAACTGATAATTGTGTTTTTCATTCTGTAAATATTTGAAAATAGAAATGATACAGAAAGCTAGAGAATGATTATCCAAAAGATTTCTAAACAATGTCTACATTTTAAAGATATTTGGTACCTCTTGTCCCCTGTTCCCCTACACAATGTCTAACTGAGGTCCCGTTTTTCCAACTGTTTCTGCAATGTTCTAATTTATAAACATTTTGGGATCAAATCCAATAAGTACAAGTTTAATCTTGTTTGAGAGATGCATTCTGATTTTATTGTTTCCAAACTGCAAAACTTGCAAGATTGCCTGCTTACTTATGAGCGAATGAGCACATATTTAGAAGAGACATTACTGCAAGTCATTCAGGGCTCTTCACTTCCATAGGTATCAAGCAGGGCCATCAATAGCTGATGATGAGTTCCAGCTGCGTTCCTTCAGCCCTTCCTGGGACACTCACTCTATCATTCAGGACAGTAGCCATACAAGATTGGACTTACTAATCTCTGTGGCTATCACTGTAACGTTGTGCCACAGCAGTGTTTCCCGGTCAAGAAGTTTCGATGTAAAAACTGAACCATTTCCAGAATCAATGTTGAATATTCTGTCCATATCTGTGTGTCGGTCAACAGAGTACCTGAAAATACAGAGCAGAATTGAAATATGCTTTCCTTGCATTTGGTATTCTCATATTATAAAACTATTCCCAGAATATGTTATATTCATTTTTCTACTTATCATGCATACTTAAATATCTATAACGTCATATTAAGCAAAATATTCTGAGAAATTAGATCTTTACAACTGAGGCCTTCATTACACACTCAGTAGGCAAGTTGAATGATTTTGTGGATCGCCACTACAGTTTCTTTTTTTAAATACGAAATTGGCATCAGGTTTAGGTAGTGATTGCTATATTTTTAACTCAAGCTTTTAGAACCTTAAGATTTTAATAGATGTGTGTGAACATGCAGGGCATTGATAATTTTTCTACTATCTGTTTCATTTTTAAAATCATCTGGTTGAAAGAAACAAAGTACAGCTGAGTTGAGGAAAGACGTGGGGAGGGAGAGAGCTAGAGTTGAGGTTGTGGAAGGGTGAGCTGGCCATAGGAAGAAAGTGGGATTTATTGTATTTTTTTTTTATCTGCAAATATCTTATTTATTTATTTTTAATTTTTTCTTAGTACACTTTTACAGTCAATCCTGATTCACTCATCGTGGGAAGCTGGTACATGTACACAACACATCTTAATTCTTTCTACTTCCTCCTGCCTCTATTTCTTGGCTTTTCTCCTTCCCATTTACAAATGACCTATCTGCTAGTTTCATATTGTCTTTATTTTATTTTGCTTTTAAATTATTTATACTTTGGATTTCTCATATAAGTGAAACCATGTAATATTTAAGCTTATGTGTCTGATTTATTTTATTCATCATTATGATCTCAAACTGCATCCATTTTCCTACAAATGACTGACATGTATCACAGTGGTACTCCATTGTGGATAAACACCACATTTGCTTTATCTATTCATCTTTGATGGACATATAGGCTATGAAGATTTAGCTATTATGATTTGTGCTGCTATAAACATTCACCTGCATGTATCACTATGATATGATGTTTTTAACTCTTTTAGGAAGATACTCAAAAGGGGAATAGTTGGGTCAAATGGAATTTCTGTTTTTATTTTTTTGAGGACTCTCTATAGTAATTTCCTTAGTGGCTGTACTAGCTTACATTCAAAGGTGAGTTTTATTTTAAGCACAGTGCGAATCTGTTTTAAGCACAATGTCAATCTCTTCCAAGCAGGGAAGTGTCAGAATCTAAAGCATTTAACAAAGATCACTGGTTAAATTGACAGAATGGTTGGATGGTATTGCTATGAGCTAATAAATGAGGGGTAAGAACGGGATTTGAAGATCTTAAGTTCCATTTGTGATATGTCGAGGCTGAAGTGCACAGGAAAGTACAGGAGGAGCTACCTATCCTGAAGCTCAAGACACAGCTAGACTGACAACATAGACTTCTTACTCAATTGTTCAGGAAGCAAACACCGAGGGAAGGACGAAAGGTGCTAAGGACAGAGGCACCTGCAGGACAAAGGGAAGAGCAGATACCTGTGAGGACTGGAACAGGGCCTGTAACAGAATAAGAACTGGACAGATATTTAAGGTTGAAAGTTTGGAAACTTTAAAAGGAGACCAAGGACCTGAGTTCAATCCCCGGTACCAAAAAAAAAAAAAAAAAAAAAAAAAAGGAAACAAAAAG